GATATTGTCTCCTTTTGAACTTGATCTACGTATTTTTTCAATGTCGTTTAAAGTTCTTTTTCTTTTTTTTTTTTTTTTTTTTTTTAAATTACTCGAGTTAAACCGAGCTGATTATTCTAGGATCACCGTGGCCAACCACTAATGGAGTGGCCTCGAGCAAAGAAGTGATTCAGCCTTACCTAGATATACTACCGAAAAAGGCACCGCTTTTCATCACGGTAACTCGAGCAACACTTGTGATTACGCTTGTAATTAAAGGAAACGAAGGTCGATCGATTCACGTGATGAAAATTTCCAGCCACTGAAAGACATCGCGGTGGTGAGCGGGCAGACGGCGAGATTCGAGTGCATCGTTCAGGCTGAACCACAACCGAACATCCTCTGGTCCAAGGACGGCAGGATCATCGAGAATTCATCGTGCTACGAGATCCATTATCGCAACGGCGTTTGTCGTCTGACCATAGTGCGAGCATTTCCTGGTAAGGCAATTAATACTGAAATTGAAAATATTGGTGCAAACTTTTGTGGATGAAAATATCAACTTTTTCCACGTGAAACTCTCACATTTGACCTGTGAGGCGAAATATTTCATCCCTGTGAGATATTATATTATAGAGATCATGTAAAGTACAACGAACGCGTATTTTTCGTTTTACAATATTGATCCAGTTGTTTAAAATGTTATTTAAAATTCATTGTTAATGACATTCGTCTCGATTTCATTAGTCTAAAATATGTACAATGAATAAAAACGATGGCGGTCGACGAGTTAAAGTAAATTTTCTAGACACAATTATTGATGAAATTTTTTTTCTCACTGGGTTTTTAGTTTCACTTATTAATTTTAAGAATCGTCAATTTAAAAAGAAAGCGATTATCTTTTTCTTTTCTATTTGTAAATTTGCAAATTCGTAAATTTGCTTTGATAATTGATATTCAACGTTCTAAATTTAAAGCGAATTTTCAGTATCGAATAATTATTATTAAATTGTTATTTCCGTTGGCAATTAATGCTAAATTTCTTTGTTTCTATTTTATTTCATTTCTATTGTACTATTTATTTTATTATATTTATTGTATTTATAATGGAAGAATATTGCCAAATATTGATTACCTTACGCATTACTGTTTTTATCCTATTTTAAGGAATTAAAATTTCTTTTGACGAAAGAATTTCTATTTTCAGAGGACGCTGGCACTTACGCGTGCACTGCAACGAATAGCTTAGGCTCGACAGTAACTTCCGCCATCTTGCAGGTGCCAGGTAACAGACGATCAGTATACGCGCCTATTTAATAATGGTCGAGGAGGGATTAAGCAAAAACAAATTAAAACGCCAAAGAAAAAAACAACAACAAAGAATCACAGCACAATCTAATACGAAGGTGGTGGAACATTGAGTCTCTAACTTCAATCAAACTTCATTATTTCGCTTAATCAGTCTTTTTCCATCTCCAAGAAACATTCATCCAACAAATCATTCAAACGAATATTTTTCTATCGAAAAGAAAGAACATTTCAATTAAGAAAAAAAAAAAAAAAAAAAAAAAACACGACGCGAATAATATAATATATCCGTGATGGTAAACTGGCATAAGGAAAAATGAAGGATTAATGCTTAGAGAGCAAGTATGTGCTTCCCGTCAAAGGGTGCGACATTTTTTTTTTTTTTTCTCTGCATTTTGTACGTACGTAAAAGCAAATGATTGATTTTACGACAGGGGCGAGGAGAACTAGTCAAAATACGATTAGCCGAATAGTGAGAAGTTGAAGAAAAATTCGCGAACGCTGGTGGATACGCTTCTTATTCCTCCTTTTTTTTTTCTTTTTTTTTTTTGTTTCTTCTTTTGTCAGCGCGTAGTGAGCTTCCTCGAATGCATTTTCTCTCTCTCTCTTTCTCTGTCGTTGTTGCCGTGGAACGATTTGAACACGCTTTTTAGTAGGTCGTTTCTTTTTGACTATACTCTGTTCCATCTCACTCTTTCTTCTCTATCACCTTTATATTTCCTCTTATCCTCCGTCTTTCCATCCTCGAGAATTTCTGTCCTATTTTATCCTTGTTAAGCACGCAGCATACGTATTTATAAAGATTCTCCCGTTTTCTTCTATATTTTTTTTCTTTTTCGCCTGAAATTTTTTTTCTTTTTTTCGCCCGCCCTGTCATAGACTAGAGTCGCGGTAATTTACCAAAAAATTGCTACTGAGACAATTGGAATTGGGAAACGAATCGAAACGAAGAAGAAATAATACACGAACTAACGAAACTAATTATTAATTTAGAAAGAGAACAGAAACGGTGAAAAATTTTAGTTTTTTTTTTTTTAAACGAGTTTTCGAACGAAACATTTATTGGACAAAATTAGGCTATTAAGTAAGAATGAAATTTTTAACTAAGCAAATTAAGTACGCCGTGATTCTCAATGAAACAGATGCTAGTCACACGATCAAGCTGTTACACTCGAGCGAGAGAATTACTCATTGAAACGAGCGAGAATCGATAATACAGTGAACGTTCTCGATCGTCGAGATCGTCCACTTTGACATATTAGCTTGAAATAGTAGCATTATTTGAAACGCTTTGTTGCTCGGAGAATTTCGAAACGAAGAAAGATTCGCATTGACACTATTGTTATCGTACACTGATCACTCATCGCAGCAGACAATTTATTGGTATACTGTGTAAATAAACGTGTGCTTTCTCTGCAATATAATGAAAGAAAAAAAAAAAGAAAAAAAAAAATTTAGGTACTATGGTGTCACGAGTTATTTTCTCATCCCCTTGTCCCTCTGTTCCTCTTCTGTGTTTTTCTCTGTCTCTATGGCTGATTGTTCTTTATTGGCAATGGTGCGATTTTGATACGGTGCTGGGACAGAGCATCGATGGCTATATGGTGCAAAATGGTAGGTGTTTTTTGCTAATAATTGGGTATCAGCATGACGTAGTTTTAGGGGCCTGGAATTATTAACACGTCTCATCTCGTTTCGAATTTATTTGATCTGGAATTTAATTTTATTCGCGTAATTGAAGGTAGCATCGAGTGAATTGTAAAATTTATCGTGACAGAGTATTAATAAGAAATAAAAAATATTGTTGGAGAAATTATTGACACTTGGAAATTTCAAGTTGCCGTTTCAAATTTAATTTTATTTAATTAGAATCATTATAAAATTTTGCCTGATGTCACGACGACAGATAAAAATATTATTGATACAATTAGAAATTTCAAATTTAATTTCATAAAATTTATTTTCATCTAATTCGTGGAAATAAGAATTGTTTTGAAAGAATCGTTGACATTTGGAAAGTTTCAATTGTCATTCAAAGTTCAATTTCACTCAATTTGTTAATTAGAATGAAATTGCAAAATCTGTTACAATATTCTAGAAATTCTAGAAATATCTATGATTACAAATTACGATAGAAATATTCGTAAAAGAAAGCAAAACCTTTTATTCGCTATAGAATTGAGATATCGTTACAGAGCATTGCAACATAGATTAAATAAATTTAGACAGCTCTGTTTATTTTTGCTTTAATTTTACAGTTTCATTTACATTTTACGTTTATTATATTTTCTTATCAGATCAACTCCCGATCTTTACCTACATCAAATTTAAATCATCGATTAAATTTCAAAACAATTTGAAATTTGTACAATAAGATGGCTGTATCGTTTTTCTAATTCTATTCTAAACTCACTCCTGAAACCATCAGCGACGCTAAAAATAAATATACACGATTATAAATTCTGCTCGGTTACACGAAACGCATAGCGGCAAATTGGTCACGGTACTGTAACTAATAAAAACAAACTCGACGAATTTCAACATGTTATTCAACAACGTTGAATATAACACATAATACATGCGTCTCTGTATGATACAAACTTCTGAATCTTCCTTCTCAGCGATTCGTAAACATCAAAATACCCAACGATATCGAACGATAAACGAAACTAAAATCCTGATGCGCGATGAATATCGACGTAATCGAAGGTATTTTCAGATCAAATAAATTCCAAGCATCGCATCGATTGAAGAAATCATAAGAAAAATAAATCTCCTGTTTCCGCGTTACACGTGGTGAGTGCTCGCGAGGGAATGAAAAGGGTTGAGGTCGAAAGAAAAACGAAGAAGAAGAAGAAAATAAAGCGTTACGCTGTGAACGGAACGTAGCAATGTATCGAGAGAATAAGCATTGTTCTGTCTTGCTTTTGTTGCACGATTAGTCATACGTATTTCAGGCACCCACTTATTTTCGAAGAGCAAAAGAAATATGTAGAGCGCAGCGTAACATTCGGGGGGGGAGGTTACTAACATCGTGCAGGCCTGTTAATTGTGCTTTTCGTTAATCACTCGCATCGCGGAATCGTGTATATTTGGCCCGGTGAAATCCAGTCCACGCGCGAATATATTTTACGGAGCTTCGTCGGACGAACGAACGGAACGAAAAGTGGATAATTTTTGAGCAAATGAATATGTTCGAGCATTTGAAAGAATAAATACGACGATTAATTTGTAATACGTAGTTAGGATAATCCAATATTGGAAATTCTTTTCCATGCTCTTTTTTTTTTCGAGGATTAAGAATGAAAAATGAAAGAATTGATCATCATATGTACGTGTTTTAATTTCATTGAATATCAAAGAAATTGATTTTAGAATTGAATAATAAGAATATATGAACAGTGTTATGAAAATATTTTAGTTGAGAGGAAAGAGAAAAGAAAATGACAATTGTACAGTGAATTAATAATTAAAATAAACGAGGTGCTTCAAAAATTGTTTGAAGTATTTTAGACGTTTAGTTAAATAGTTTCAAAAGTAATAATGTACTATTCTTTTCCTTTTCAATCGGATCATTATCCTAAAAAGGAAATAAAAGGGATGAATTTTCGTCGAAGAACATCAGGAATTAAAGTGGTGTTTATTCGAACTACCAGCAACAGGTGTATTTCAATTTTGAACGGAATTTCTAATCTGGAACCGTTCTTCGGAGAATGCGTCTAATTTTAAAGTCAGCAATGTTGGGCGTGGCTATGTAACGTTATTCGTAAGTTTGGAAACACTATTCTGTTGAACTGCTTCGAATGTCACAATATACAAAACAGTGTTACTGTTACATCCAAAAATAATGAAAGTCACGGATCCATCGCGAAACAACGCGCAACAATACTGTCGCTATCGAATTAATTTAAAAAAAGAAAATGTAGAATTCGCATTTATTGAAACCTGCTGGAAAACTTGGAAAAATTTATTGAAAGCAAGGATAAGGCAAGACTATGGGTCAAATTAAATGGATTAAATTAAAAAATGAAACAAAACGATAAAAATATTCTGCGAGGAGGAGGGGGGGGGGATTAATATTTTTGGAAGAATACGCGAATACGTTTGTATGCAGGATGAACAGGCTGTTAGGTGATGCGGTATGAAAATAGACGGTAAGGTAATCCCGGAATGCGATGGAAAATATGAGTCGACGATCCAAGAATAAACGAGAGAAAAACAAGCGGTTGCGATTGTTAAAAGATCACGGTACGGTTTCTCTTTTCTTTTTTTATAAAAATCGCGTCATGGCCGCTCGTTCGCGATATTAAACCGCGCCTGTTCGACGTATTGTTGCGCAACCTTTGCTTCTTCTTACATGATCTAACCACCGAGGAAATTTTTTTTATGGCAGACGATCTTCGCGGGTTGTCGATCGTTTTACTTGACATTACGTGAAATTCATTTTAAGCATTATCAAGAATTATCTGCATATACGTAAATTTGTACACGTAAATATAATTTACGATATTACTTGCAATCAGATCGAAATAACAAATACTATTTTCAACGAAGAAGAAGAAGAAGAAAGTTCAAGTATATTGTTAAACATGTCATAAAATATTGATCACTTAGTCTCTAATCTAGCTTTAGTAAAAAGAATTATGTGTTTCATTTCGACAACAAATGCAGCTGTACTAAGTCATCGATGTATAAAATTATGAAATTATAAGAAAGAACTAGTACAGAAGTTTTATATATGAGGTATATAGAAATATAAGAAAAATTCAACATTTTCTTCTATCTTTACCTATCTCTAATCAAAATTTCGAAGATTTATATATAGTATTATATTATATTATATTATAATGTATAAAGTATATGTATATATATATATATATATATATATATAAAAGTTTATATGTAGTTTATATATATTTTTATATATATATATATATAAAAGTTTATATGTAGTTTATATATATTTTTATACATAGCAAAAACTATATATAGTATATATATAAAATATATATAAAGGTTTATATGTAGTTTATATATATTTTTATACATAGCAA